GCCTTGCCTCCCTGGCCGCCTTCCTCGGCCAGGCCAGGCAGGGCCGGCTGGCCCGGTTTGCCGACCGGTGCCATGAGGAGCATGCTGCTGCCCTGGCACAGTGACTCCCCCGGTTCCCTTGAGTAGGGACCAGGCATCTTTTGCCCGGCCTTGGCTCCCGACCCACCCCCTCCCCCCGCGGGTAAGAGCAGCGTCAGCGTCAGCAAGCAGCGGTCAGCGGCAGCCCCACCACCCCCACCTCCACCTCACACACTCACTGGCCCTTGCGCGATGGCACGCCGGCATGTTGGCATGGGAACGCCAAGCCCGGCACGGTAGCGGCGGCTGACTGAGTAATGGCACAGCCGACCGCCGCGGCAGGCCACTTTGCACTCCTGCCTGCAATGCATGCACCCTTACATGTGCAGCCTTCTGGTATTTTCATGTGCCTGGGAGATGTGCGGGCATGGGGGCCCATGTGCCCCATGCCATTTGAGTGCCCGGCGGCGGCGCTGCCTGCCGCCGGGAGCCCGCACCAGCATCGGCACCCGTCGGCCTGGCAGGCCTAAGCTGCTAAGGATCCCCACGTCCCCCACCACGTTGTGGGGGTTGCGTGTCCGGCAGGACGGGGAGCGGGGCCAGGGTGGGGTGACCCTGGGACGCTCAGCTGGGGGGAGGGTGGTCGGAGCCATGGAGAGGGTGCTCCATGGTCCACCCCCTCTCTTGATGCCCCTTGATCACGTGTGCCCCCTGCCCAAGGTCTGCTCACGCGGCCTATCATAGCGGGGTGACTGTAACACCTGGGACAGCGTGGCGGGTGATCAGCAGTTGACCGAAGCAGCGTGAGTGGCGGGCGCCGGGCTGGCGGCATGGAGGGCTGGGGCCTGCATCTGCTGCTGCGGCACGCTTGCGGCTGCTTACTCGACCGCTGTCTGCCTCCAACCCAGCCCGCCATCCCCCTGATACCCTTGCCCCATGCAGCATCACGCTGTTCCAGGGCGCCGCGGCCGCGGCTAAGAAAGGCCTTCTTTGAAGGCGCTGGAGCTAGTGTCTAAACCCTCCGAGAGGGCACAGGTTCGATTCCTCCCATGTCGAAACTTTGTGAGGACAAACGCGGCATAGCTGACCGGCTCAGCGCCAATCCAAGCCAATTCCTTCGGGAACGCCTATTAGAATCGCCAAGGCTTCGGCACAGGCCTCCCCGGGACCCATTCACTACTAGTGGGGGGTACTGCACTTGGCGCGTCGGGCAGATCAAATAATGGTCTAAAGCTAGACGTTAAAACCGGGAAGTTAAGCCTGTGGAGGCTCTTCCCCACCTTTACCTTTACCTTTAGCGCCCCGCTGGACGTGTCTCGGTGTGTGGACGACTTTGACGCCGCCCTCAACACCACCTGCTCCTCCGCCGGCGACACAGTGTCCTGCTGCAACTCCCTGTCGGCCCTGGGGGGGCAGTGCCTGTCCCACCTGGCCGCCTCCATGGCCGCAACCCCCGACCTTGCCAGCCTGCTGACTGCCTTGTGAGTGGCTGGGCTGGGGCGCAGAGCAGGGGGCATGTGCGGCTCATGCAGGCGTGTGCTTCAGGCCTATGCCTGTGCCCTGCTGTCTGCCTGCTTGCTGTCTCCCAAACTCAACCAGCCTCTCCTCCTCTCCCTGCTTTGCCCGCAGCACCGGCCAGCTGAAGAGCTGCCGCATCCCGCTGCCCGGCAGCGACGGCACCGCCCCTCCCGCCCCTCCCAGCCCGGCAAGCCCCACGTCTGGCGGCAGCTGCTTCGACAGCTTTGAGGCCGCGCTCTCCTCCTCCTGCGCCGCCGCCGACCTCACCCCCTGCTGCAACGCGCTGGAGCTGCTGGGCGAAAGCTGCCTGGATCGGATAGATGGCCAGGTGAGTGGCCCGGATGTTCGTTGTTGACACAACGGCACTGGGGATTCCCGCCTGGAGGAAGTGGGCACCTCTGTGATGTCCGACCCGCAGCTGATGGAGGCATTGTGAGTGGAGGGGGCTGCTGGCAGGACTGCTGCTGCTGCTGTGCACCCTGTGCCAGCGCCGCTCACGCGCCCTGCCCCTCCTTGCCCCCTGCAGCACTGCCCTGCTCCAGGGCTGCGGCTACTCTGTCTCCACCTACTCACACCTCGCCAAGAAGCACTCCCTCATCGCCGGCGACGACGCCGATGCCGCCGCAGCACTGGGCAGCGCCGCCTCCCTGCGCTCCCTGCCCAAGCCCTGGGGCTGCGCCCTGTGCGGCGAGCAGCCCCAGCAGCTGGCCAGCGCCGCCCCCGTGGCCCGCCGCTCAGCGCTGGTCACCAGCCCCAGCTTCCGCGGCCCGCACCTGGAGCTGCGGCAGAAGCTGGGCGGCCTCTAAGAAAGCGTGCTCAATAAGGAGCTGAGACTGCTCCATGGCCCACCAAAATCTGATTGGTGATCGATATGGAGGCGTGCCACCAACCGGTAGCCCATTGCTACATACCTACCCCCTCTCTGTACGTTCACTCCAGCACTGCCGAGTATCCACTGATCCATACCTTTCCTGCCAATCATCATCCCCGTCCTTCTCCAATTCATGTCGCCCCTAATGCTGTGCATCCCAACTGAGTGTAAAGCTACAGCTACTGTACAGCACATGTGTGCCACTAGACCACAACAGCAACAACGCAGCCGGCAATCGGCCATGCATGGTGCTGCAGCATGCGGCACGACAAGTGCTGCCCATGAAATGTGTGTGACAACAGGCACAATGGGCAGGGGAACCAGCTCAGGCCACCTTCCCAGGGCGTATAGGTGGGCTGAAGCATGCAACAACAACAAAGGAGAAGTGAAATCATTCATCAAAATTGGTAGTGGGGATTGCACAACCAAGCGGCTAGTAGGGCAGCATGCAAGAGGTGCCCAAAGCGGTCAAAGCGGTACAGTACAATACAGTGCAGTGTGCGACAGGGTACGGTGCAATGCGCCATAGGTATTAGCAAAGAGGGCTCAGAATAACCTGAATCAAGTGGGTGGAAACAACCATCCAAAACTCGACAGCAAGGCAGGCGGCCTGCTGCGGCACTGTGGCTGAGACAGGCCAGCCTCACAGGCGCTTGGGCTTCTTCTTGATTGCCGCCGCCTTGGCCGCCGCCGCCTCGGCCTTGCACTTGGCGGGGCACATCTCGCCCTTGCGGCAGTTGCGCCGCTTGGACGCCTTGCAGCACTTGAGGCACGCCGGGTTGGCGTAGACCTTGCCGTCCTTGCCGCACACCTTGGTGCCCGCCTTCTTGCACGCCGCGTCGCAGGCGGCTTTGGCCGCCTCCGCCTTGCACGCCTTGGCGCAGTTCTCACCCTTGCGGCAGCTGCGGTGCTTGGCCGCCTTGCGGCATTTGAGGCACGCTGCGGTGGGGTAGGCCTTGCCGTCCTTGCCGCACAGCATGACGCCCTTGGCGGCGGGCTTCTTGCACTCTGCATCGCAGGCCGCCTTGTCGACGGCGGCCTTGCACGTGCGGGGGCAGTACTCGTTGGCAGCGCAGTCGACCCGCTTGCCGGCCTTGCTGCTGCACTTGCGGCACTCGTCGTTGGCGTAGACCTTGCCGTCCACGCCGCACACCTTCTTGCCGCCCGCCTTGCACTTTTTGGCGCACGCCGCCTTGTCTGCCGCCGCCCTGCAGTCGTCCTTGCAGTTCTTCTTGGTGCCGCAGGCCCACAGAAGCTTGGCAGCAGGCTTGGTGCACTGCGGCAGGAAGGAAGCAAGCGTGCAGCAGGAGATGCATGTGGCCAGCTCAGGCGCAAGGGCATGAGAGCCAGCAAGCACAGCGCGGGTGCCTCCGCTGCGGATACCGCAACCAGGCACTGTGCCGAGGCCGGCAGCTGGCGAGGCTGCTCGGCAGGGCCGGGTTCCTCCCCTCTGCTGCCTCACAAGGGGGAGCAGCGGCCACAGAGGCGTCAGCAGTGGAGCGAGGCGCCGCCCCTCACCTTCAGATCGCAGGCGGAGTT